TTGTTTTACTCCTGATTTTTGCAACCCAGGGCTGTTGTTTTACTCCCCCCTGTGAAACGAGACTGGGAGAGCGAGTCATGGAACGCCCCAGGAAGGGACAGAGGACAAAATCAAAGCCCTAAATCAGTGTCACTCCTGCCCTTCAAGGGTCTTTTCCCTCTACTATCATGTGTGATCCTTTCTGGATTCATTAATGTCAGCAGAGCAGCAAATGTTGCAGCTGCTGGCTGGCTCAGAGCTGCTGGACCCCATCCATGGCTCCTTCCTCTTCCCTTTTAGGAAGAAGTGGCAGAATGCAGCTGCCTGGGAGGCTTTATTTTGGGTTGGAAGATCTCCAAATGGAGAGGGGGGAAAAAAAACTGAACATGCTGTAAATCAGAGATGGCCTTGAACCAAATCCCCTGGTTCTCCAATATCAACAGGCAGGGAAAGATTCAGACCAAGGCAGGGATATGGATTGTCCATCACACACCATCTCAGGCACGTGGATGGGTCTGAGAATCACAAAAAGATGGGAATAACACCCCTGTAAATTCTGAGTTTTGCCCCCAAAGTGGAGCTAACACGCTCTCCAGTCATCCTAAATAAATCCCCTGACCCTTTAACATCTCCCTGCATTGATCCTGCTTCAAAAGGGGCTTGAAAATGAGTCACTTCTCCCTCTGGGATATTTTTAAGACAATAACAAGATCCCCTTAAAAACCCTCAAGGGATGCTGAGAGAATTCAGAGTTTTTTACAAATCTCTATAAGACATTTCCAATCTTGGCCTTGCAGAAAACCCTAAAGCAGAACTGTGTTGTGAAGGACTATTTCTTATGGACACTTTCCCAATTTAATAGTCGAGTTTTCCTTATAAGAAAGCCTGCAAAATTTTTTGATCCGAAGCCATTTTTTGGCAGCTTTTTTTCCTGTCTCAAAGAAAATTTAAATTGGTCCTAGTGAAGACCATTTCCAGCTACAGTTTCCAGGGATAAAATATACACATGAGATAGACACAGGAGTGAGAAAGATGCTGGAACTCCTGATTTTGCCAGGCCTGTGGCAGGAAGGCATCTTACTTCAGGAAAAGTGGCAGATATTTTTTTTATTGGATTCCTAGGATGAGATAAAATGTGCCTCATGCCTTCATGCATTCATTTTTAGCACTACCTGTTCTCTTTGCACCTTTGCACGTCTCATGTCCTTCAGGAATCTTACAGCCCCTTATTAATATTTACACATTCTGATAATACGTTTTTTTGGTCAGGAGATATTGTTATATTCTTCCTTGAGGTGGAAACCAGGCTGGATGGAGCTCTGAGTGACCTGTTTTAGGGGAAGGTGTCCCTTCCCATGGCAGGGAGGTGGAGTGGGACGAGCTTTGAGGTCCCATCCGACCCGAACCATTCTGGGATTCTGTGATTTATGAACACAGAGATTAAGAATTTTATCCAGGGTCTGAGAGAGCTCTCAAAGCACAGAGATCCACCCCAGCAGCTGTGTTTTCCAGGCTGCTTCAACCACTGCACCACATATGGAATTTTAAGGTGAAAAAGACCGACTCTTTCACTTAATCATATTAATGATCTTTTTTTAATCCATGCAGGCATTTCCACAAACTCGGATCTGGAGCAAGGAAACTCTTGGCACAATCCATAGGACACAATCAGGGCACAAAGCCCCAATGTCAGGGCAAGCTGTAATTTCAGGCAACCCAGCTGAATCCACGCCACTGTCACTGCAGAATGTTCTGCAGCACGAAGTCGACGGGATATTTAAATCCAGAATTTATGCAGGACAGCACCCAATGCAAAGAACAAACACAATAAATAAAACACTCTCTAGAGGCACAGGATATAAATACAGAAAATTAAAAGGGGGAAAAAAAATCAAGTGAGCTATATTTAATACTGATAGTTAACCATGCATAGTTTATTCCAGTTGTTTCTCCGGGAATGTGGCTTGTTTTAACAGCAGCTGGTTCTACTTTTCAGGAGTGGAATGAGGAAAAGTTGTTAAAAAAGTTTTAATAAAAGCTTTAATTGGTGCAGTAGAAAATAAGGAGCTGTTCCTAGAAAGAGAGAGAGAGGAAGGGAAAGGCAGAATGAGAGAACAAAAGGGAAAGAGGGAAAGAAGAGGGAGTTAAAGAGAGAAAAGAGGGAAAGAAGCAGAGAAAAAGATAAAGAAAAAAAGAGAGAAGAAATATTTTCACATCAGACTATCTGCAGAGAGCTTGCTTTTGACTTTCATACTCTATTTAAAAATACAAAATTGGGAGCATTGCAAAAGAGTTCCCAAATTAGCTTTTTAATAGAGATTGGAAGTTAAAAGGGGCCGAGTCATGGGGGAAAAAAGATTTGGAATCACAGCCAGGGCAGCGCCAGCAGAGAGTGAGGCCAGAGCACGCCCCAGTGAGAGAAGAGTCAGGAAGTTTTATGAAGTGATGACACTGTAAAATCACAGAAAAATCTCTTATACCAGCAAAAGCCAAATGACATTTCTGGTTTTGCTTTCTTCTGAGCATCTGCAAGAGGGAAAGAGCAAGTGGAGATAGAGGGAGGGTTTAAAAGTGGAAAGCGGTTCTGAAGACATCTAATAAAGATGGATTTGGGTTGCTTTGATATGTTTAAATTCTTACAGCCACTGGAATTTTCTCATGGAAGTTTTAAGGTTCACTTTGCACACAACTATTCATGTGTCCAGCACACAACCCTTGGTATCCATAAACTAAAGATTACAGTACATTGCATTTGCATAACCTCATAACTAGTTTGCAGACACTGTAATGCAGCTTTCAAATATTACTGGGCGAGATTGCTTTTGGGGAGGATTACCCAGGATCTGACACTCAAGAAATTAGTATTATTTTTTTATAATTGCCTTGAATTACCAGAAATTAGACAACATTGAGACCCCGAGTTGGATTGATCAAGGTTCAGTCGGATATTAGGAAAAATTTCTTCACTGAAAGAGTGGTGAAGCACTGCAATGGGCTGCTCATGGAAGTGGTGGAATCACCATCCCTGGAAGTGTTCAAAAAAATGAGTCAGCGTGGCACTTGATGGTTTCGTGGGCATGGTGGGATTCACTCAAAGTTTGGACTTGATGACGCTATAATAAGGGTATCAGAATTTTCCAGATTACACTTTCCAAACTACACAACTGGAGTGCTGAAGTGTTGAGGATCTGGAGGGCTTTTTCCCATTTTTTTGTCTTAAAGAAGGTCTTGGGTTAAGAGCTCTGGGATGAAAGTCACAGCATAAAACAGGCACACAAATCACCTGGGAAACCACCCCTGGTAAGCACTGGCTGTGCCAGGTCCCTGTTTCCCCTATTTTAAGGCACCACGGGCACACCAGACCCCAAAACATTCCCCCCCTCACTCACAGTGATGCAGCTGGAGGGGCATCTGCCACTTCTACCAGACAGGGGTTCTGCACCCCCCGACCCCTCTGCCCAGCTCATCCCTCCACCCCCGGGGTCCCACATCCGCCAAAGCCCCTTCCCAGAGCACCTCTCCACCTCGGGTCGGGTCTGCGGGTGCGGGACCCTCGTTGTGGGGCTGCTGCAGGGATCCCGCACCCACCGCTTGCCTCCTGCCCTGCTCATCCCTCCACCGCCAGCGTCCCGCACTCCCAAACCCCCCTCGGACCTCCCAGCGCGCCCCTCCGCTCGGGTGTCCCGCATCCTCGACTCCCCCGCCCGGTGCATCCCTCCACCCCCGGTGTCCCGCACCCCCCGACCCCGCTCCCCCCGCACCCCTCCCGCGCCGGGGGTGCCGCGCACGGCCCGCGGGCTCTCTCCGGGTGACACCTGCCGGCGGCTCTGCGGGGACGCGCCCGCGTGTGCGGGAAGAGCCCCCGCGCCGCGCTCCGGAGTCCGTCCCCCCCCCAGCACCGTGCCCGCCCTGCCCTCGCCTCCGCCGCCCCCCGCTCCCGGCGCTCCCCTCCCGCTCGGGGCCGATGCTCCGCCGCTCTCCGCGGGCGCGGTGCTGATTCTCCGCCGCCGCCGCCGCCGCCCCGCGCCCGCGCACTCCGCGCGTCCCCGCGCCCCGCTCCCGGCAGCCGCATGGCCGCGGAGGCGCCGGGCGGGCGGCCGGGAGCGCCCTGCGGAGGTGAGGGGGGTCCGCGGGGGGTGGGGGGAAAAAGGCACCGTCCCCGGGGGATGCGGGGTGGGGAGGGGGGCACCGGCCACGAGGGATGCGGGGGACATCGGCCCCGGGGAGGGGCAGGCGCGGTGCCCCCGCCGGGCTCCCACCCCCGCGCCCCCCCCGCCCGTGCGCATCCCGCCCCTCGCCGATGCCGCGATCCCGCCGCTCCAGCGCCGCGCGGAGCTGGGCTGTGCGGGGAGGCGAGGCGATGGCGAGGCGGCCGCGCTCCGCTCGCTCGTGTACGTGTCGATGTGACTTTATGGAAGTCACCAACTATCGCTGCGGCGCATCGGTCACCGCCCGGAGCTGCCCGGCGGAGCGGGGCAAGGCTGGCTCGCTCTGATTTGGGCTCGTAGTTATTTACTTAATGGAGATTTCGCCGGCAAACAGATAAATGAGAGAGGCTGCCGGGTCTCTCTGAGCGTGCCGAGTCCAACTTCTGACCGTGGATGAAAGAGGGATGCTGAGGTGGTGTGGAGACAGGACTGGTAAGAGCTGCCAAGGAGCAGGGCGAGCCAGAACATGAGGGAAAGGGGAAGGCGGTGGGAAGGCAGAGGGGAGAAGGAGAAAGGGGAAGATCAGTTTAAATCTGAATTATTTCTTTTTATTGCTGAGTGTAGCCCCCGCCCTGGAGGTGTTGGTTGTAGGTTTGTGATGCTGGAGGAATAGCTCGTTTTCTTGTCCAGAAGGAACCTCTCCTGTGTTGTCCCTGCCTGACCGAGAGCCAGGGACACACCGGGAGCTCCGGGAGGGACCCGTGAAGTTCATCCCGTACTTTTCCCCCCCTTCATCCCCCCCTTGCCGCTGCTGGCACATTAGCATGCAGGGTAGGCTCTGTGTATTTAACGACTCCATTTGCCAGTGTCTCTGTCAGCTCACACCGCCCTTCTCCAGCCGCGCTCCACAACCTGCCTCCCTGGACCAGCCGGGTCCATCTCCCGGCTGCGGCCACCCCAGCGGATTCTCCGGGACCCGGGTGCCGTTCCCAGCTGGATCAGGCAGCCAGGGCAAAGCTCCGAGCGGTCCTGGAAGGGGAGGGGGCAAAGCGAAGCGAGCTGGGGCGAGAGAGGCAGGGAGAGCCTCCGTCTCGGCAGTAATGAGGGAGAAGCTGTTTAGTCATCTCTCTATATATACTTTCACAATGATGATCGCATTTACTGATTGCTGCTGACTGCGCGTAGAGAGGGAGTCAAGAGGCAGGCAGCACAGCTCACCTTTCATCCCGAGGAGTGACTGCTCCCCCTTCCTTCCAGTTCCCCACATTTAGCCCTACTTTTGGGCGCCGGGTGTCTTTCCTTGCCAGGTAAGGCAGCGCTGCGAGCCGGCAAGATGGGGCTCTCTGGGCTGACCGGGAGGGAGGGAGGGGAGAAGTTTGCATGCATTCATCCTAAGCCTGTTGCTTTTGCTCCTAAATCTCTCCACCAGACCGAGGGAGCGAGTGTTTTGCAGAAAGTTTTATTTCCTGATGTGGTTGTGAAGGGAAAGGGCGTGTGACTGAGCGAGGATACCGAGTCTTGGCTGACATGTTTTGCTTTAAAGCAAATGTCTCTTTGCTGCCTGAGCCTGACCCAACAAGGACAGGGAAGAGGGAATGATGTCAAGGCTCTTCACTCCCATTATCAGTGTCTCATCAAGAAACTCACAGTATGTTTGTGGGGCACATTTCAAATCATCCCTGTCTGCTTCTGGAAAGGGAAACACGGAGATTTTTGGGTTGTTTTCTGCTCTCGTGAGAGGATGAAGAGACAATTATTAAGTGTGGCACTGCCGTGGGAGCTAACGGGGTAAGAATCCAGCCTTTATTTCTTGACCCTTTGGGTGAACAGACATAACAGTTCTCTGAAGTTTTCCTCCAGAGCTTTCCTGACCTGCCATGCCCGTCAGGTTTTTATTTTTTCCAAGTGGGATGAAACCACGGTGCCCACGGAGTGGCTGCAGCACAGACGAACCGCGGGGGCCAGCAGTGGTCGGGAGGGACCCCGATGAGGTTGGAGGTCCTGGGAGGGGGACAGGGGGCTCAAACCTCAGCCTTTTCCATCCAATTCGCTTGACCATTTCACTGTCCTCACAATTATCTCTAAAGAAAACAGATTCCTTTCTCTACAGATGCTGACTTTTTTAAATCAGGAGGCAAATTATTTTATTTCGTGTACCAGGTCTTCTAAATGTCATCAGCAGGGTGCCAGTCTGCTGGCAACTAGTTCCTTTCAAATTGCATGCAGAAATTATGGCAATTAAAATTAGAAATATGGGTATAGCTAAAGATATGCTTGTTAGAATTAGAGTGTGTCTGTTTTCTGTGTGAGCTGAAGAGACTCTGTGGACAGTACAGTAGATTTTGAGTCCAGCCAGTTGCTTTGCATAGCAGTTACCAAAACCCAGGCAGGCAGAAAAGGAGAATTATTCCCCCATTCTGTAGGTAAACTTGTTATTTCATCTTTTTTTTTTTCTGCTCAGCCTGTGCAGCCCTGAATTACAAATCCAGTCCTATCTCTCTCCTAATTTTCCGTCTCTTATTTCGGGGACGGGTGAAGTTCCAAGGACTTATGGACAAGAAAAAGCAAGACCTTTGTGATAGGAGATTTCATTACTCTTCTCCCTGTCGCTCTTAAGAAAATTTATAGCCAAAAAAAGACTTTTTTTGTGTGTTTTTGTGGATCAAATGGGGCAGATTCAATGCAACTTAAACAACCGAGCTGTGCGTGCTCTGTTTTCTTAACCAGCTGCGTCTCTTGGTCCCAGAGAAATGGGAACTGAACTTTCACAGAAGAATTCCCCTCTCTTTCTCTTTTGCTTTAATATCCTGTCCACTATATTCAGATATTTATAGCTTCCCTACGCATCCTGCCAGCATGGAAGGACCCATTTTATCTTTAAAAATTGATTTAAAAATGCGTAAGTCACTTATGAGTTGCCATTGCTTGATTAGAACAATTATATGTGAAGTATTTATAGTGCCTGAGCAGCTAATGTAGGTAACCTGGAATCCACAACCAAAGTTATGAAAGTACAGAAGAGGTTTCTGATGCAGTTCCCCCGAGAAATCAGGGGAGATGAGGATGAGTGAGGAAGCTGCTCAGGTCACCCTGCATCAGTCCTGGTAGAAGGACTGTGGTGGTGTTAATTGAAATTAAAAAGCAGAGAAGACAGGTTACCAGCAGGGAAAGGAGGGATAAGATGCTTTATCTTGGTTTCTTGGTTGTTTGTCTGTGTATATTTGTTGATAAATGAATGAAATAGTTGTTGTTTTGCTGCCTCTCGTTCTAAAGCGTTCCATAAAAATTAAAAGATCCACCACTGCTGGTAGAAGGGATCTGCCTGAGCCCACTGAGCCCCTGGAGATGCCCTTTCAGCTGAGGACTGGGGGAATCTTTTCAAAGTCATGCAAAGAAAGTTTCTCTGCCTGGCACAGACGACAGAGCCTGGTCCCCAGGGCTGCCAGTCTGGCACTGTGAACGCAATAAATTCCCTCTTTAGGGCGAGAGAAAAGGTAGTGCTTTGTAATATTGAACAGTCCTTAGGAGGGAAATGTCGTGGGATGTTTGCTCCAGCGCCGTGCAGATAAAGCAAAGTGTCTCCTTGGGATAAGCATCACTGTGGATTATTACACGTTCCATAATTACCAGAGCTCTTCCAGCAGCAGTAAGATGCTCACACGAGGGATTTCAATTGTCCTTTAGGCAGTAAAACTGCACAGAAAGATGCTCCCCATTAAGGTGATGAACGTTAATTTGCCCTGAAGAGGAGGGGCGTTTCTGGGAGCAGTTCAGTGATTTTCACCACAGATGGATTCCATCAGTTTTTGTCCAGGGTTTGGATGGCCTGTTGGAATCAATAATGCTGCAGCCTGACTGGCTGGAGTGGCAGCTTTCACATAATTTCAAAACTTCAGAGGAAAACTGCCTACAAAGATACAATTAAGCTTTGAGGGCCCGAGTCAGTGCAATCAGTGGAATTTCCATTGATAAATCGACTTTTGATAGGGCTCCTAATGCATCTCTTATGATAATGGCACCTCTCTTCAGGTAATTTCATGGTAGAGTTAGAAGAACATTAGGGAAATGAAAGTAAATGCAGGTTAAAATAAAAGTTAAAGACTGTAAGAACTCTGACCAAAGATCAAAAATCTAAAGAAAATTCATGGTTAGATCAGAACCACAAAACCTGCTTGAACTTCAAGAGAATATTGGCTGAGGATCTGGACAACTCGGGGTATTTTTCATCTAAAAATCCAAGAGTGCAGGGAACATATGTTGTGTCAAACTAATAGTCCTTCAGTTCTTCAGGTGAAGGACTTCTGCCCCTCTGTTAGCCAGGAAAAAGGCAAGGAACTCCTGCTGGAAGGAAACCCTCCAGCTTTGGGGGCTCCCCTCATTCTGATGCTCTTGGTAGCTTAATCCATGAGCTTTCACCCCTGGCACTGAAGTTTGCTGTTGCTCAGGTGTTCTGAGCAATGTTTCCCTGAAAGCCAGAATTTGCTCCTGGTCTGGCAAAGGGCTGGAATTCTCCACGAGAGTAAAACCCACCTCTAAATTAAGGAGAGCAGCAAAAAACTGCTGCTGAAGCCAGGCCCTGCATTAAAGGTGGAAGAAAAACAGTGAAAACCAGAGATTTTTTTTTTCCATCCCTTTCAGCTGAGGATGTTCTTAGTGCAAGATTCAGAACATATTGAACTTGTTTAAGGCTGGAAACACAGCTGAGCCCAGCCTGGGGTTTTTGTGGTGTAGGATTTCACGGGGTGAGCTGCCAGCTGATTTCACTGGAGTTCCCAGCTCTTGCTTGACAGCTGTAGTTAAACTGATGAGCACACGAGTCTTACACCTGGGGAATTATGGATTAGTCTTGTTTGTGAGGAAGCAAATATAAATTACCGTGTTTATGCTACTTTTAAAATGCTTTTAATGAGGAATCATTTGCTATTCAAAGTTTCAGTCTAGAATAAAGCCACAACCTCTCTGAGCTGATTATCACGTGCCTTGTTTAACATCCTTCTTCGACTGGGAGGTGAGGGCGAGCCAGTTGTTTTAAATCCTTGTGTCTGTGTCAACACCAGGGCAAGACACCCCCTGCTTGACTGTGCGCTGTGTTCTGTTTTGCTCTGTGTTTTAGATGGAACTGATCTGACTTCCAGCAGGTCTCGGGAGCATCCTGATTATCCTCTCCAGTAACAAGGCCTGGGCTCATCATGGCAGCAGGAGTAGCAGCGTGGTTGCCCTTTGCCAGGGCGGCTGCCATAGGATGGATGCCAGTGGCCAACTGCCCCATGCCACTGGCTCCAACGGAGAAAAACAAGAGGCAGGACGAGCTGATCATTCTCAATGTGAGTGGCAGGCGATTCCAGACCTGGAGGACTACACTGGAGAGATACCCGGACACTCTCCTGGGCAGCACCGAGAAGGAGTTCTTCTTCAACGAGGACACCAAGGAGTACTTCTTCGACCGGGACCCCGAGGTCTTCAGGTGCATCCTAAATTTTTATAGAACTGGCAAGCTGCACTACCCCAGGTACGAGTGCATCTCTGCCTACGACGAAGAGCTCGCCTTCTACGGGATCCTCCCCGAAATCATCGGGGACTGCTGCTACGAAGAGTACAAGGACAGGAAGCGGGAAAACGCGGAGCGGCTGATGGACGACAACGACTCGGAGAACAACCAGGAAGGCTCCATGCCGTCCCTGAGCTTCCGGCAGACCATGTGGCGAGCCTTCGAGAACCCCCACACCAGCACCTTAGCCTTAGTCTTTTACTACGTCACCGGTTTCTTTATCGCCGTCTCTGTGATCACCAACGTGGTGGAAACTGTGCCCTGCGGCACCGTGCCCGGGAACAAGGAGCTGCCGTGCGGGGAGAGGTACGCCGTGGCTTTCTTCTGCCTGGACACGGCCTGCGTGATGATCTTCACCGTCGAGTACCTGTTGAGGCTCTTCGCGGCCCCGAGTCGCTACAGGTTCATCCGAAGCGTGATGAGCATCATCGACGTGGTGGCCATCATGCCCTACTACATCGGCCTGGTGATGACCAACAACGAGGACGTCAGCGGGGCCTTCGTCACGCTAAGGGTTTTTAGGGTTTTCAGGATTTTCAAGTTCTCCCGCCATTCCCAAGGCCTGAGAATCTTGGGCTACACCTTGAAGAGCTGTGCCTCCGAGCTTGGCTTTCTCCTCTTTTCCCTCACTATGGCAATCATCATCTTTGCAACTGTGATGTTTTACGCAGAGAAAGGGTCCTCGGCGAGCAAATTCACCAGTATTCCTGCTTCCTTTTGGTACACTATTGTAACCATGACAACACTGGGGTGAGTAGTACTTTTCCTTTCCCTGAGCAGCAGGCAAGCATGTACGGGGAGCTTGACTTCAGCTGCTCCTCGGCGTTTCCCCGGGTGCATGTTCGGAAAGGGTCGGGAACCGTTGAGGGCTCGATTGTTCTTTGCCTGACAACTTCTGCGGGTCGGGGGAAGTTGTGCAGAACGGAAAAAAGCGCTTCCACCCACTTGACAAACGTTTGGCACAACGGGAAGTGAGTGCAGGAGGAGCAGGGAGGTGCAGTGGCAGGTCCTGGTTCACGCTCCTGCTGCAGCAAAGTTGCCACGAGGGCAGGGGGTGTTGGCAGAGGGAGCTGCTGGTTTGTCCTGACGTTCATTCGAGCTACAGGTTTTACACAAAGTTGCTGACGGGTCTTGTTGTGTCTCTTTGCGGTGTCGGCCGTTGTTTCTCCGCTTGACACGCCAGGAGGCACAGATTTGCTGAGTTCAGGTGGATGTTGTGGGTCAGTGGACTGAAAATACTCCGAGATCGCCAGGGCAGGGTCTGGTTTGCACTCAGTGGAGCAGGAGATGGGCTTCTTGTCTGGGGGTAGTTGTGAGTTTGCAAACTGAGTGCGCCGTGGCGGTTGCAGTAGAATTTCAAACATTCCCATGGACAGGTACAAAGATAATGGAATCAAAGCAAGAGGAGTGTAGCCTGGAGGGCGCTTTTTTCCACTTATATTTCATTTCCGTCTTACAGATGTTTCTACTGAGATTATAGATTTGTGCTTCTGCTGCTCTGAACTAAAACCTTTGTAAGCAGAATAGCCAGGCCCTCACCCTGACAAGGTTATGTAAAGGAAAGTGGGCATTGCAGGCCGTGCAAAGCTGTGATGGAGTGCAATCTCTCCATTCCACACATCAGAACAATATACTAAGTTTACAGTTACTTTACGAAGAGTTTTCCCACTGGAGAGTTCACACAGGTTTAATATTCCGATGTAGACAATGCTTGTTCTTGTAATACTGTGACCACTTTTTCTCTAAACTGCTTTTGATTTTAAACACTTCCCTGTGCCCATTATACATGAACAGGCTCACTGTAGCACTTTTAAATTATTAAAATCGTAATTCAGCTGTCAGAAAAGTGCCAAATCCGGTTTTATGACAACCGAAAGTCTGAATTTCTTCATTAAGTGCAAATGTAGAAGCTTTTTGTCATAGTCACCTAAAGATCTCTTATTCCTCCTTTTTAATATCTAAGCAAAGTGTGCAAGTTTATGGCAAAAGCTGCTCCTTACCCTGGGAAAGTCAGTGCTTGCTTAGAAATGGAAGGTGGGTTTTGCAGCCCAGCACTCCCCCGCCCTGTGGCTCAGCTTTCCATGTTCTGACTGGTCCATACTGGTCAGTTCTCGCCCTCCTTTGCCCACCAGCAGCTTCAGAAGAACACCTGCCCTGGGTGGCTTCTTTCCTGTGTCCTCTGCACGAGGGGCAAGGCGTGAAAATCCAGTTCTCTCCTGGGGTTTCTGTTTGATAATGATCACACCCACCCCTCTATCCACACACTCCTGTGCCCATTCACACTTTTGCTGTTACATCTTTGTGACAGGACAGTTGGGGTCAAGGGGACATTCTGGGAACAAACCCAATACCTGCAGAATGTGCTGGAGAGCAGCTGAGCCTCTGCTCCCATCAGGGCACTGGCTCGGTTTTGGTCTCCTTCCCTCCCTCTCTGAACGCACAGATCCACAAACCAAAGTGCTCCTGAGGACCTTAGAGTGCTCTCAATCTGTTGTAATCACAGAAATTATGGATAAATGAGTGCTTTAAATGAGTTGACACGGATTTAAGAAATTAGACGTTTAAACACAGCTTTGTAAAAAATTCGTTGGGAAGGGACCCATAAAATGCTGTCAGAATCTTAAGGCTTAAGCTTCTAGTGTTTGGGATTGTAATTAAAATAGGTGCCTCTAGCAAAAAGTGTATCAGCTGAGTTTAGTGTTTTATCACAGATTTACAAGAAACTCAGAAACCTCAATAACAGCAGACCCTGAGGAGCCCCCGTGCACTTGGACAACACCCATCTGCCCACAACCACACTCAGCAGCTCCCTGAAGCCAAACACTCTCCCAAAACCTGTGCTAGAAAGAAAAGTTGCAACTCTGAGCCATAAAAGCCTGATTGCTGCCAGCCCAGCTCTGCAGAGCCCCCTCCAGACACACCTGGGGAGGCATTTTTGGGGCTGCTCAGGACCGTGGTGGGGTCCCAGCGCTGGTGGAATGAGGCACTGGCTGTGCCCACAACTCTCCCCCACAATTTGGCAGCACAGCAGTGGAATCCATGACCTCCAGGAGCAAACCCTTTGTCCTCAGCTCATTTCCACCTCCTCATTCCCACCGTGTGGGGTGGGCTGTGGACCCTCCTGGAGGAATGAACCCCCCTGGGGTTAACCCTCCTGGCCTCCTTCATTTCCCCAAAAATCCCTTCAGTTCTGACAAACTGGAGCTACCAGACAATATTTCATATACATCTCTCTTCAGAAGCCATTTCAATATGTTTGGAAGGATCTTGCTGCTAATGAGAGTACTGGCAATTCCCACCACAGACACATTGCCAAAAATGCAGGCAAGGTCTCCTAATCCATCAGACTTTGCCTACTTAGTGCTTGCCAGTTCACTGCTTGTATTTCAGCAACACTCAGAGCTTTTATTGGTATCCTAAATATTTTCTGCCTTTTGCCTTTAATAATTCAGCCAGCATTTAAAGCAAGAGGTTATAAAGCAGGTTTTTAACTCAAAACTATACATGTATGTAAATGCAGATAAGTGAATGTTTCCCTGACACTGGAATCCCACTGTTGCCTTGACAGAGTGCTTTGTAGGAGCCATTTGGAACATGCAGGATAACTTTTCCCGTGTTATTAAGACGTTAAAAATTATATAAAATGGAAAGTTTACTTACAACAAGCAAACAAGGCCAGCAGTAGGAAACCATGAACCCTCCCACTGTGCTGTGCATCAGCTGCTGTTCCAGTTTCCTAAGTATCCTTAGGATGCAATCGAATTTCCGGATTGACCCATAAATAAAAAGCAATAAAAATGCTGTTCTTCTGGAAGGTGAAGCTCTGCATCAATAAATAATTGCTGCTTTTGGTGGGGTTACTATGCAAATCAGTTGAGAGAAATCCAGGGCGATCCAGCTCCTTAGGTAGTTAACAACCCAAGGAGACAGGTACAATAGTTTTTCTGGAATGGGAAACAAAGCAAAGGAATTAAATTATACTGACCCTGCATCTCTGATCCCTCTGCTGTGCTCATCAGCCCTGGTTTAACAGAGGCTGTTTTTAATTTAGCACGATTTAAATTTTGCTCAGGAGGTTTTATAATGAAAGCATTATTCTTGGGTGCATCTTAAATCAATCTGAATTACTGAAACAACTATTCAAAATTAATTCAAAATCAGCTCTCCAATTCATGCAGAAACATTTTTCTCAAGAGGCAAACAGCTACCCATCCTCTCTAAAGCACCAGTGCAACGAGCACTGGCCTTGAAAGGACTCTTGCTGTGTCCTGCAGGAGGTTTTGACCCCCAGGACCCCCCTGAAAGCAGGGGAGGAGCACAGTGTTGGTCCCATCCCAGCACTCACGTCCCTGTCCTGGTTTTTAGCTAACTTGATGTGCAATAACCACCAGTTTTACATCTACTTAAAAATGATTTAATGCTAATAAATTTGGTTGCCTTGTTACCAGTGTGTTGGCCTTCACAGAATGGTTTGGGTTGGAAGGGACCTTAAAGCTCATTTTGTTCCACCCCCTGCCACGGGCAGGGCCACCTTCCACTAGCCCAGGTTGCTCAGAGCCCTGTCCAATATTCAGTTTTATTCCCATTTACAGAGTGCAGTGGATGGGGCAGCCTCATGTTCCACTGCTGCCCCTCCGTGTGCATCCCAAACACAGCAGTGGGACGAGACCTCTCCCACACCACTCAACCCCCACGCCAGTTTTGCCCAGAACACATGTTTTTCTAAGCTTTTTGTAGCTGTTTTCATTTCACCTGACAAGAGCAGTATGTTTCAGACTCCTGGGCAGTGTCCATGGCCTGCAGCAAGTTGTAGCTGTGAAAACCTGAGTGCCACGTCTGCCTGCACCTCCCTGGGCACGGAGAGGCTCCCGAGGGTCCCTTTGGGCATCACAGCCGGGCTCCCACTGTGCCCCAGGCAGGGGAATAGAATCCCAGAATGGGTTGGGTTGGGAGGGACCTCAAAGCTCATCCCTCCCACGGGCAGGGACACCTTCCACTAGCCCAGGTTGCTCCAAGCCCCATCCAACCTGGCCTTGGACACTTCCAGGGATCCAGGGGCAGCCACAGCTTCTCTGGGCAACCTGTGCCAGGGCCTCCCCACCCTCACAGGGAGAAAGTTCTTCCTAATATCTTCCTAAATTTACCCTCTGTCTTTTTTAAGCCATTCCCCCTTGTCCTGTCTCTGCAGGCCCTTGCAAAAAGTCCCTCTCCTGCTCTCTTGGAGCCTCTTTAGGTACTGGAAGGTTCTGTGAGGAGGGACTATCCATGGAGGGAGTCATCACTTCTGATCATTTGCGTCAAGAAACCAGCAGAAATGCAGACCAAGAGACAGAGACTGATGATGGATTTTGTTCTGCTCTGAGCTCAGGGATACACTGTGTGGTTTTCTATTGCCTAATGAAGGCTGAGCTCCCACAGCTCAGCGCCCTCAGGGTGGTCCTTGGAGAATCTCTCTCTGTCTCTCTCCCTTACAATTTGCAAGACCATAATGCTTTTGGGAACACTATCCCCCTTTCAGAGCTGGCTGCACTGGTCAATGAGTTTGAAAGACACACATCAGTGCTCTCGGACAACACAGTCCCATCTGTATAATTCATTTAAGGAACCAGGTTAACGCTGGGAAGTCAATAAAACAGCCGTGCTGGCCTGGTTATGTCAACAGCCTGGGCTGGAGCAAGAGCTGAAATTTCTTAGAGGTTTTATTAGCTGAGTGCATAGAGAGCAGGGATTTGGGGGTAGGGTTTGTTTTG